GTAACTTCAAAGGCAAAATAGCCCTTAAGCCAGGGCTGGGGGACCGTTTTTGGGTCGGAGGCCACTGACCCACAGAAAAATAAGTCAGCAGCTGCACACAAATGAGAAGCGGGGAAAAAACTCTTCACTGTGGGCCCCTGACTGAGAAGGAGAAAGAGACTCTCCACAGTCCCCTCATACATCAGAGAGGGCAACCTAATAGATTTTGTATGCTCCAGCCGGGGGGAGCACCTAGGGGACTGGAGCACTGGCACAGGCTCCCCAATCCTGGGTGGGGGGGCTGAGCCTTGGGGGCCGAATCCAGGCAAGCCAGGGGCTGCGTCCGGCCCCCAGGCATGAGGTTCCCTCCTCTGCCTTTAGCCATGGAGACTCTGTTACACATTAATCTCAAACTCGAAGTTCCCATAGCCCTTTCACGAGTAAAGTTTCTAAGGGTAAGCTTATGTAAGCAGGGAAATGGCCCTGCTCTCATCGTGAGCTTTCCTGGCTTATACTGTACTACCCAGATGCAATGGACTAGCAAAAGGATCTGAGGCCTCACTCCCACTTAGTTTATCCAGAGGCCTGCCTGATCTCGAAGGCTTCCCTTCCACGCTCCTTATAACCCCAACAAGGGCAGGCCCAAGATTCCTGGCGGGGCTCAACCCTCAACCTTATTGTGATCACTTAGGGCAAGGATGAGGGTGTCCTATTTCAGGGTGCTCTTTCTGCGCTGGATACTTCTCTCACCTGTTGATCATTACACATAGTTCAATGCAAATACATTTATTAAAAGCGGTCAATATATAAACAAGGAACAATGGGAAAGGTTAAAGGAAAACACACACACACCCCACACTCGGTGACAGGGAACATCACAAACAGCATCTCTGGGCTGTGAGGACAGTTCACAGTCTGCTCCTCATGTGTCCCAGGTCCTGGCCATGCCGCAGGGATGCTGTGGGTTGGATACTTGTGCTGGCAGTGGCCACACACCTTCAGACTCTACATGGAAGGACGCTTCTTCATAGAATCATAGAATCATAGGACTGGAAGGGACCTCGAGAGGTCATCGAGTCCAGCCCCCCGCCCTCAAGGCAGGATCAAGCTCCGTCTACACCATCCCTGACAGATGTCTATCCAACCTGTTCTTAAATATCTCCAGAGAGGGAGATTCCACCACCTCCCTTGGCAATTTATTCCAATATTTGACCACCCTGACAGTTAGGAATTTTTTCCTAATGTCCAATCTAAACCTCCCCTGCTGCACTTTCAGCCCATTACTCCTTGTCCTGTCCTCAGAAACCAAGAGGAACAAATTTTCGCCTTCCTCCTTGTGACACCCTTTTAGATATTTGAAAACCGCTATCATGTCCCCCCTTAATCTTCTTTTTTCCAAACTAAACAATCCCAGTTCATGAAGCCTGGCTTCATAGGTCATGTTCTCTAAACCTTTAATCATTCTTGTCGCTCTTCTCTGCACCCTTTCCAATTTCTCCACATCTTTCTTGAAATGTGGCGCCCAGAACTGGACACAGTACTCCAGCTGAGGCCTAACTAGTGCAGAGTAGAGCGGCAGAATGACTTCACGAGTTTTGCTTACAACACACCTGTTGATACAACCTAGAATCATATTTGCTTTTTTTGCAACAGCATCACACTGTTGACTCATATTCAACTTGTGGTCCACTATGACCCCTAGATCCCTTTCCGCCATGCTCCTTCCTAGACAGTCGCTTCCCATCTTGTATGTATGGAACTGATTGTTCCTTCCTAAGTGGAGCACTTTGCATTTCTCTTTATTAAACCTCATCCTGTTTACCTCTGACCATTTCTCTAACTTGCTAAGGTCATTTTGAATTATCTTCCCAGCATCAGCCTCCTCCCCCAATTGTCGGGTTTATTATCCCCCTCCAAGTCTGGCCTACAAAACCTCTTGGCTGGTGACATCTCCCTTCTCACCCTTACTGTCCTCCGCTGCTCACTGCATTTGGCTCTGGACTGCTCCAGCTCCACTCTGCCTCAGCACTGAGGATACTCTGCCTCCCATGGGCCCCCAAGGGTGATCAATCTCACCCCCATTCTACCCCTTCCTGTAAGCACCCAGCCTGCCTCTTCCCATTGCAGCTGCTACTCCACCCTTTCTCACAATCCCCTGCCTCTTTCCCATCTTCCCCCCTCAACACCCAACATCCATGCTCCTCCCCCTTCCTTACTGAGCAGCCTGAAATGCCGCAAAAGATCTGGCACAGCCAGGAGATTGTGCTTTCTGGGAAGAGGCTAAGGCAGAGGAGCAGCAAAAGGGATTTGCTGGCAGGTATCCCCAAGCCAGAAGGCCAGGGCTGAAGGGCAAAGAACAGTGCTGGCTTGAAGGTGGAGAGCTGGAGCCAAGGACTAGAGAGGACTGCACACTGGAAGCAATAAGGACAGAGATGGATTAGATTTACTGGGACGTTTGGCACATGTGGGTTCCTTAAACCCTGGGGCTACATCTATACTGCAGCATCCACACCTCAAATGAGCTTTTGTGCAAGTAAATCAGCAGTAAAATGGCAGAACAGAGGGCTTTTGCTGGTGTAGGTAAACCTTCTACGAGGCATAACTCCCTTTTGCGCTATAACTATTGCACAAAAAGGCAAGTGTGGATGCTCCAAAGTGCAAGAAACCCCTGTGGAAAAAAGCACAGGTGCTCTGATAGCCATTCTGTGAATGGCCAACAGAGCTTTCTTGTGCAAGAGGGTCCATACAGTGTGGACACTCTCTTGTGCAAAAGCACATCACTTTTGCGACGCGCTTTGAGGTGTGGATGTGCTCTTGCGCAAGAAGTTTTTGCACAAAAACTCTTGCGCAATAGGCTTCTTGTGCAAGAAGCATGTAGTGTAGATGTAGCCTGGGAGTCTAGAGATGTCAGAACTTTGAGTAGTAGCTTTGGGCAAGCATGTGTGTGTTGGCATGGGTGTAATTTATAGGGAAGGGGGAGAGGAGGACAGAAAGGAGGAGGGGCAAACTGCAAGCCACAGGCCAGAGGCAACAGGAGAAGGAGACAGCAATTTTAGAATGAGAACTCTGTATATGCAAATGCATATATAGTGCAGCATTTTCTTCTTAAATCTCAGGAAACTAATTACATTGACAGTTTCTTAATTAGAATCCGTCAACGCCTTTTTCACTTGTGAGAGAAAAAATTGGGCCTTACAAAGCACATTTAAGTATCTGGCTCCCTCTAGTCCTGAATTTAAGAAATGCTTAAGGGACTTCTGCTGACAAAATGTTGCCTGATCTTAAGAATTTCCAGTTACTGCCTATAGTAACTGGATCAGGCCCAGTATTTAATTATTCTATGTTTGGGAACCCTAATGTGCACAGGACCCACTTTTGGGTCCTGACCCACAGTTTGAAAATCACTGATATAATGAGTTGATATATCCCTGGAAGATCTCAGTGTGCCCATAGGGATATGCGTGGTCCTGGTAGAGAACCACTTCACTGTAAGACCACTACCAACATAACTATCCACCATACTGGACCAAACTCTTTAAGAAGTAATTTCCAAAATGCTAGCTATGAAGGTCCTTCCTAACTACAACCCTGTAACAGGTCAAGGAATACAAAACAAAGCCAACTCCAGAAAGTCACACTGCAGCCAATGCTCAGGTTTTATACTGGGTAAGCTCAATGTAGAAATATTCATGCTGCATTCTCCCATTATTGATGCAACCAATTCATTTGCTACTCAAAGTTATTAACATCGGAAATGCATGATCAGCAAAATGATGCACTGACAATTTTATGTTCAATAAATTAAGCCCACGTGATGACTTTGTTTCTGCTATGTTTTCATATTCCTCACTTGGGGCTAGATTTGCAAAAGATGTATGACCATCACACCCTGTTGTCTAATGAAATTCACAATCCTTTTTAAGAATGAGGGGGAGAGTTAGCTTTTTTTTTTAAGAAACTCACAGAAGCCAGTGTGCTGGTCAGGGAGCAATTTAAACTAGCTATAAGTTATATATTATAAGAGGAGTGGGGCATACACCCTTCTCTGAAAGGAAATGAGGTGCCCTCCTCCACTTGGAATTCATAGCCATGAACCCTTTTCGGTAGTTAGGCACCTAAGCCAGTTCAGATTTTTCTCATGAAAAATCAGAATGTGTCATGAGGAAGTTATAGGCAAGAGCTCAGTTATAAGGGCATTCACCCAGGCCATAGCAGAAGACCTAAGTTTCAGTCCCTTCTCAATTTGATGTGGAGCATAGATTTGAACCCAGGTCTCCCATGTAAGTGGCCTAACCAGTGAGCTCTTTCTGCCTCTCCTGCCGAAACTGTTCCACTTTGAAAACAATAATTAAGTATTCATTGGACCAGAGAGTGTGAGAATGACTCTGTAGTCCAGTGCTAAGCATACCCAACAGGGATAAACAAGTTCATGCCCTCACTTTAGATCAGGCAGAGTGGGCACTTGAGCCTGGGTGTCCTACATTTCATGTGCGTGCTCTAACCACTCCACTATTGATTATAAGGGAGAGTAATGGACACCACAACCGTTATCTTTCATGTGAGTTAAGCATGCTCAGAGCCATCAGGTGAGAAACCCCATGTTTGTGAAGCTTGATAAGTCTTATACATGAGCTGGGGCAGCATCAGGACTTAAGTGGTTTGTGTGTGCCTACTGGCAGAAGCTTAAGTCCCTGCAGGACTCCTCTGGTAGAAAATTAGATACTCATGGAGGTTAAGTGCCTGTAGGGTTAGCCAGCAGCTGAATGATGTTTTGAGCAATGGCAGTGGTGCCTGTTCTGTCTGTGTGGATTTTGATAGAGGCTGTTACAAATTTCTTCGGACTTGTGTTTCCTTATATAATTGCATTACAAGCATAAAGAAATACATGCCTAGGGCTAGAGATGTTTTCAAATAATAGATTTTCATGCAAATATTGGTTTTATAGGTTTTATCTGTTTCCAAATATGGTACTATTTTAGAAACAGATGGGCTTTCTGCTAATACAAGCCTTTTTTCTACAGGTGTTAGTTTAAGCAAATCAGTACAAGTAAACAAGCAGAATTTTAAATCTGTACTGGTGTCACATCATCAAACACAAGAAAGAGACAAGAGTGTAGCTTCGTTTATGAAGGTATGAAACATTTGGATCCATTTAATTAAAAAACTCCTAATGTGTTTGCTTCTACATCATACTTTTTCACAATTGTCAATTTTTTTCTGGATACCTTTAAATTCAGTGTATTCTGAAGTTGTAATGTGTACATCATTTTTTGTTTAAATATAATAGCATTATGTTAAACATTTAAGGATGCTTTTGCTAGGACAAAAGTTACCATATGAAATAAATGTATGATAATTTAAATAGAACAGAAAACACCGAAAATAATCGAGTCACACAAAAAATCTTTTGATCATTCACTACCATAAGTGTAGCTTTTTTTACTATTATCTCTGTTTATCTTAAACTATGAATCATAGGAGAAAAAGACAATTGAAGATATTAATCGACATGTAGAATCTTATGAAGATACAAAACATAAGATGGAAATTGAACCAACCAAGAAACCATCAAAGCAAGAAACTTCTAATAGAATATGTAGAGGTATACTTTTATTTCTTCATTAACCTCATTTGATCTTATGCAGATAATGAACTATAGGACACTGCTATTGGATACTGCCATGATGGTCATTAGCTTATGTTTGATGTACAACAAACAAGTTCAATAGGGCTACATCTACACTGCAAGGTTTTTGCACAAAAATGGCCGTTTTTAGGGTTGCCAGATGGTTTCAACAAAAATACCGGACACATTTGACATTACATCACAATCTACGCTGCATCTTATTTTGAAAATACTGGACATTTATATTTTCTCATCTATATTTTTTCAGTTTGTTTCCCGAACAGAAAGCTCAAATACTGGACTGTCCAGTTCAAAACAGGACACCGGGCAACCCTAGCCATTTTTGCACAAAAACCTGCGGAGCATCCACACCTCAAATGTGCTTTTGCGCAAGTAAATCAGCAGAACAGAGGGATTTTACTGGTGTAGGTGAACCTCCTTATTTGAGGCATTAACTCCCTTTTGTGCTAATGTTATTGCATAAAAAGTCAGGTATGGACGCTCCAGAAGGGTTTCTTGCGCAAGAAACCCCTATAGGAAAAAGCACAAGTGCTCTGATGGCCATTCTGTGAATGGCCATCAGAGCTTTTGTGCACAAAAGCGTCCATGCAGTGTGGACACTCTCTTGCACAAAAGCACATCACTTTTGTGATGCACTTTGAGATAAGGACGTGCTCTTGGGCAAGAAGTTTTTGCGCAAAAACTCTTGCGCAAAACTCTTACACAAGAAGCCTGCAGTATAGACGTAGCCTAAGTGTTAATACAAGCCACTAAAGTCCACTTTAGTCATGCTGCAGCATTTATACAAGTAATTTAGATCTGGATATAGAACTCTGTGCTCCTGGCCTTCTAATGGCATTCTTACAATCAGGTGCTTTGTTTGAGCTATTTATGGACTCTGGTGGTTTGATTGACAATTTATGTTGATTGGCTTGATCTCAAGCAATAGGCTTCTCACCATTGTCACTTGTCCTTCAGAGAAGTTTCAGATGAGGTTTAGACAGACAATATGTGCCGCTATTGGAACATTGTCTAGGGTTGGTCTTGGTCTACCTTCTCTCCCCACTTGTGTCGACAAGAATTGAAATCAAAGCCTGTCCACCCTCAAAACTTGTCTTTATTTTGGCTTTTCATACCTCAAAGGTGAATCAAAGCTATTTGACCCTCTGTTGACACTGTTAATGCTGTTATCCCTGAAAAGGCACACCTGATGTAGCTGCATGCCTGAGTAGTGAACAATGGGAGCCCACCCTGCAAGAGGTCTTAGTGAGCCAGAGGCTATGGTTTGTGTCTACTGTCTCAGGTTGCACAGGCACAAATCCAGGCCCGTGTGCATGAGGGTGTGAAGGCTACAAATACACCCTCCATGGTCCCCCAACTAAGCATACTCCAGATGGCCAGGGGATGTCAGGAGCTGCCTTCCTCCATGCTATGGCCGGCTGGGGGAAGGGTGTGGCTGATTCTTTCCCCTCCTCCCCCAGGAGCAAGGCCTGACACCAGCCCCAGCCACACTTCTGCAAAAGGGGTAGGGATGGGAGGGCGGGATCCGCCTGTATTCTAGGCACTGTGCAAACTTACAGGGGATAATACATGGCTGAAAGAACATACACTTTAGATACGGGGCGGGGTAGAAAAGGAGGTACAAAGAGGTAGTGTGACTTGAGCAGGTCATTTCCTTACCAGATCAGTAGGGGTGCATCTACACTGCACTCTTACCTCAAAAAAAGCTATGCAATTTGCACCCAACAACATAGCTAGCTTTCTAGCCATCTTACAGTCCATTTATCCAATCCATACTTCTTTAACTTGCTGGCAAGAGTACTGTGGGAGATGGTATCAAAAGCTTTGCTAAAGTCAAGATATATGTTACCCACCACCTTTCCTGTATCTATAAAGCCAGTTATCTAATCATAAAAGGCCATCAGGTTGGTCAGGCATGACTTGCTCTTGGTGAATCCATGATGACTATTCGTGATCACTTTCCTCTCTTCCAAGAGCTCTTACCTTCAAGAGAGGCAATGAAACTCTTTCTCTGAACAAGTTTGCCAAAAATCATTCTTGGGCGGTCTTCAGTCCTTGGTATATGGCCGATTAGTCTTGGTTAATCTTTGACTATTTTCACTTCACTTGGTGACCTGCTTTAAGGATGGGGTTTAGCTTATTTTATTGTTTGGCAGGGCACAGTTCTAAGACAGTGACCATCCCTACTTTTTGTATTGTACAGGAACTTGATATACAAGCTGTGGATGATGTGTGTATACTCCTCCTCCCCCAAAAAACCTACTAATGCCCCCATTACATAGTCAATACAGCTAGATAATGATAAAGTAGAATCTATTTTACCTTATTCAATATAAAATTGCAACTTAATTCCAGAATTCTTCATTATGAGTAAAGATGCTGAAGGCAAAATGAACAGTTTGAGTTTAGATCCCATGTTGAATTTGTTTGTAGAGCTAGTAAGTTAAACTTCATTATACAGATTTCTTCAGCCTTCATGAAATCTTTTAATTTTATTCATGATAATTTTTAATATGCCATTTGTACACTGAATAAAGTTAAGCAACTGGAAAAAAATATGTAATAAAAGCCTAGATGCAAATTGTAGGGTAGATTTAGCAGCATGGTGCTCTATCTAGATCTATCAAGTCTTCTGGTTTACTCATTAGTGAATGGTATCTTCATAGTAATCCCAAAGAATTTGTGAGGTATAAACTAGGGATATTAAATATCAGTTAATTGAAAAGTTGAGTAACCTCATGAATTCTTATCGGTTACTTGACTATTCTATAGTCCTTGGGGCAGGGCCGACAGCCAGTGCAATCTGGCCCCACTCATGAGGAGCCCCCTGCCACTCTGCACAGGGTACGAGGTGGGAGCTGGTCTGCGAGGGGCGCCAGTTTAAAAACCAGCTCCCCTTGTGGACTGGCTGCCTGTCACCCCATGCTGATGTCTCAGATAGAGGTGGTAGCAGCCCCTGTCCAGAGGCCAGGGGAGGGGGGTCCTGAGCTCCTGGAGCCGGTGTGAGCTGAAACTGAGCCAGGCTGCCTCCCGCCTACCTAATACACTTTAAATGCAGAGCCGCACCGGGTGTAGGTCCCGGACCCATTGCAAGCCAGGACTGGACAGGCTGATGGCCAGCCTGCCAAAACATTTATTGGGGGAGGAGGAATGCTTGTAGTCTATAGCATTAACCTATAAGCCTTTGCTTAATCAGTTACACCATTACATCCCTACTATAAACATGACTGCATATAAATAAGGTAAAATGTCTTTGGATGTTGTAATGCTCTTAAACAAGCTTTAAATTAAGAAAATTCTTAAATAAAACAATTCTATTGTAGAATTTTTAAATGAAGAAATACAGCTTATGGAAGAAAAAGCTCACTTTGAATATATGGAAAGAAAGAAGAAAAAGAGAGAAGTGCAAAAAAGGAAAGCTGACTTACTGAAAGAAGAACTGGAAAAACTGATGAAAGCAGGACAAACTCAAGTTATCAATGATGTCTCAACAAGGATGAATAATAATCAGGAAAAAGTTGCAGCAGAAGAGAATGAAGAGGAAAGAAAAAGTAAACGACTGAGTGACAAAGGAGAAGCAGATGAAAGAAATGCAGTTCCAATGCAGAGAAACAGAACCCCCACTAGACTGAAAAAACAATATATGTTCACAGAAGCCACTGAAAACTTGCATCAAGGGTTTCCTGCATCAGGTCCAGTGTCCAACCCAGTCAGCCTCCGCAAAAACAGACAAGCAGGTCGACACCAGAGTGAGATAGCTGAATTGAAGGGAAGAAATTCATTTGGCATATATGTGCCATCATTTGGTAAAATTACCAAAACAAGGCAGAAAGACAGTGCTACAGATGATGGGAGCTACATTCATACAACAGTAATAGAGAGGAAAAACTTTCTTATGGAAGAACTCTTTGGATCAAGCTGTGCTTCAAACCATTCAATCCCTAACATAAAAGGGTTTGATAAAGAACCAACAATTATAGAAAATGAGAAGTTACATAATTATAAAAGTGAGTTTTTAAACACTGGCACTGATCTGCAATGTGGAGATTCTAAACTTACCCCAGGAAAGTCTAAACTAACTTCATCCTCAGACATAAAATAACTATAGTATTCAATTGATGCATCAGTTACATTGTTTATCTTTAATCTTTAAATATATAGCATGTTTAACATTTGTTGAAAAGCAGTGTGTTGCCTACCAGTGTTTGTGGGAGGGGTGAGGGAGAGGTTGCATTCATTACTTGTGAGATTTCGTGTAACTCTTACTAGAATTTTTACCTGAAACATTCTTTACCAATAAACCTGAAATGGCATACCCAGTTACAGGAAAGTATTTCTACTTAATTGATTGAACATTCTTGAGCACATATAAATGTACCATAATACAGAATATTAAAACAATGAATATGCTAGCAGCATCAAAAGGAAAACTGACAAGAGTAGAAGAGTAACACATTAAAGGGCTTGTACTACAGAACAGCAAAAAAGACAAATAGGGTTGAAATACTGGATTTGTAGGGCAAAATCCTGTTCCTCCTGAAGCTAGTGGGCCAGGATTTCACACATTTGAAATATTTGTATAGTAATTTTTTAATCTGAGCCCCCCTAGATTAGCAAAGCACTTAAGCAATTTCATAACTTTAAACAGTTGGTCCTAGTGACTTCACTATAACTATTTCTGCTTAAAGTTATGCAAGTACTTAAGTATCTTGTTGGATCAGGGTGTACACACTTGTATATAAGTGATTTCTAACACTATGCAAATCTTATGTAGCTATATTTTTATCTAATGGTGGCATGACTCTAAAAGCTGCAGCATTTCAGTAATCTAGTGTCAAAACAAGAGAACATGTCATTACTTTAAAAAGTCATAAATGAAATCTTGAAATACTGGAGGCAGATAGCAAATCTTTTTTAGTGAAAAGTCTTCAGCTCTGGAACTCAATCATCCATATAATCTACCACTGCTCAAGCGTAACAGGCAACCTTTGAAATGTAAGGCTCTTCAGTCTGGATTTCTAAGTGAGATTTGTCAGATGGCTGAGGCAAGTGATTTGCTTTTATGGTCATTATTTGGCCTTGACACAATAAAAGTTTGAAATATCATCCAAAATTCAGACAAATTAAAATATATTTTCACTGTCTTCAGAAAGCTCTGATGCCTTCATGTGTTGCTACTGAATGTTAGAATTACTTCCTGCGACTTGCATGGTCACTACCCCACTGCTGGACTCAAGTGATGAAGTCTGCACTGTATTTTGCCCACTGAGTATGTTTTTCTGGAAACGTAGGGGATGTCCATTTCTCAAGCAGTCTTGCCTTGGTATAATATTTTTGATTTGGGTTTGTTTGTTTTCAATTGGTAGCCACTTAATGTAGGATGCTTCAGATCTATACCAAGGATCAAAAAGGAATAAAAAAATCCTTGATTTAATTTTCAAAAAAGCCAAGAACAAGTGGAACAGTAATATGAACAGCAAATGTCCTGTAATAGATTCTAATCACTTTTCAGGATTAAGATACACATGCAGAATATTGCATTTGGTACTTGACAGCTTTTTTCCTAAAGATAAAATACTTTGATTACATTTTACAATGAAGCACTTCAATGATTGGTTTACTATGATCAAAAATGCTTGGGGAAAAATATCTATGAAATATCAATATTTCTCTTATGTGATTATTCCCATACCCAGCATATGGAGCAGTCACATTCAAAAAATATCTATCCAACACCTTTGTTCACAATTTTCAGAGCCAAAACTTGCTTGTCCTTGTCTAGAGAAATCAATGGGATTACTTTTGTGACTAAACAGAGCAAGACTTGGCCCAGTAAATGTAACCAAAACAGTTACAAATCTATTGCTAATGAAGCTTTTCTTTTGGAAGAAGATACTGCTCCTTCATTTCAAAACAAATAAAACAAGACTTTTGAGCATCATCAGATGCATCTTGGGAATCAATGTTAATAGCATGTTTAAAACAATCTGCTTTTAGTGCCTCAAAGTTTGTGTATGTAATACATTATTTTTATCTCCTTAAGAAGGAACTACCAATTATCTATCAATAACATTCTCACTAACTTTTCTAAAATTTTAATTAAAGTAAGTACAGCATGAATAATCTTATTTAATGAATAAAGAAACCCCAGGATACACATTCTCAATCCTGTGGTTTTTTCCCAAGTGCTGCACATATTGTGCATAAATATTAATACTGGCTCAATATAACCAATGTAAAAACAAAGTTAGAAATTCACAAATAAAAAAAGTTTCATGCACATACACAGGACAGATCATGACCTTAAAAAAATCATTCCTAAACAGTGTTCATTAAGGAGGAAGAGAGGTGTGAGAATTGGGCATACTAGCTGAATGTAGTAGAAAAGATGCAGGTCCATTGCTCAGGATGAAGAGATACTCCAGTGTTCCTCAACTCTGTCCAGGGGTTTTGTGTGCCCCTTTCCATATATTTTTTCCATGTCAGAGTGGAGGCACGTAGGGCTTATAAATCAGCAACACTGAAAATCTACTGATCACTGGCCTTTCAGGAAAGGAATGATATGGGCAGCAGGGTAACCCAGTGGTTGGCAAATCAGTTTTATCACTGTTTGGCAGGCTAGTAGAGGAGGATTCGGTCCTTCCTTACCCTGCAGGATCGTATGTATCAAGTCTGTTTGGTTTAGCTTAACACTGGGGAAAGAGGATTTACTCCAAAAAGTAATGTTTTCCTCTGCTAATTACCATATTCTTCAACATTTTGTATTAGAAATCTGAATCCCCGACTTATTTTTTTGCCTTGTAGAGTGTCTTGGGCTATCCTGGAAGATGTTAACTCACATTTTGAAATAGGAGGAGACTGACCACATCATTCCTTTCAACACAGTGTAAGCTGGGGCCATGCTCTGGCATGTCTTTGAGACTACAGCTTTTCTCCCCCTTCCTGGGCCAAGACAGGAGGAGAAGGAGGAGGAAAAGAGACTTCAGGACCAGAGCATGGCCCCAGTGATATTTTCTCAAAGTAGGGGCAAGAGAAGTATTTTTGAGAGGGAGAATTAGGTCCAGGGATAGAAAGAGCCATTTGGGAGACAAGGCAGAATATGTTTCAGCAACTGGGTCTCCAGACAAGAACAAGTAGCCAGCCACCACATATTTGGCAGTTGAGAAAGGGCTGGGGTCAACTCTGGATTTCAATTAAATCAATGGTGCATCTTCTAAGACAGCCCACACGTGCTGAAGTCTGCAAGGTAAAGTCAGTAAATCACATTTTTTTAAACGTTAATCAGTCTCCATACTTCCCGCAAAGAAAGAGGAAAGCCCCAAAAGAATCCCCACGCTGCAATTCATTTTAAAAAGCTAGTTAATCTTGCAGTTGATTCTCAGTGAAATTGTAATGATAAATTTGTTTCTGCAGTTAACCAGTGTATATTAGGGATGTTAAAACTTGTTTACGTGTGAGGGGGGGAAGTGGGAGCCAGCTCCTGCCTGCCCCCTGCTGCTACCTCTGATACAGGGGCTACGGAGGGGAGAAGTTAGTTTGATGGGAGCTGGGATGAGCAAGGAGCCAGCTTGAAAATTGACTTTTAGCGTGTACTAGCTCCCTCCTCCAGCTCCTTATCCTGCTTCTGATAAAGAAGCAGCAGGAGAGGGGGCACTGTGTAACCATGTACATGAGTACATGTTTACATTCCTAGTGTGTATACTAGCCAACAATAAAATGAGGCTTTATTAGAAGTAATGTTATCTTTAAAAGTTGTGACTAAAACTTGAAGGAAAAGTCAAATGACAATAAAGCTTATTCATAAATATTAAACTGAAACAATACAAGATGAGAATTAATTCATGCTTAATTATTACATTGTCTACAACGGCTTCCTTAGATGGAAAGAGCTTTTCCCTTCACATCAAGAATGAATGAAATTGGTGCAAGCTCTGCATTTGTCTCTCGTAAAAGACTTCAGGACTCCATTTTCTAACTGTGATAATGGAAATGCAGTTTAGAATTCCAGTATTCCTTTTCAGCTGAAAGGGTGAAGCATAATGGCCACAACTTTGTTGCAGACCACAAGCCAGCAAGTAATTCCAACGCCACCTGAGGTGAGACAGAAAAGCATGATGTAGATCAAAAGTAACACACACACACACCTCTTAACTCTCTAAATCACTTAGGAATAGGGATGTAAAATTCCATGTAATCAGTTAACCCGTTAAATGTCATGCTTAACTGGTTAACCAGGACCAATGTGGGTAGGCGCTGCTCAAGCCAGGCCCGTGATGCAGTGGGTCTGGCTGGAGCACCCCTTCCAGGCTGCTGGTTAGGCAGTTAAATTTCTACTTATGAAGTTTCAAAAATTGCAATTTTAAGAAATCAAGGAGAAAAATTGTTTATGGCTAATTTTGAGAGAACCTCAAAGTCATGGAGATGGTACTGAATCAGGGGTACAGGGTGCAGCATACATCGTCTGTTTCTAAACCATACATGTGTGATTAGAGATATATAAGTTTGCCACTGAAGACAAAGGTTCAGTAGAAAGTGAGCGCCACAGTAGAACATTCCTTTTAAAAAAAATTAAAAAAAAAATTCAAGATGGGTTAAGAGAGTTTTCTGAAAATACTGTTTTCTTAAAGCACTTATTTAAATATGCATACTGGGGAAAAAATTAACTCGGTCATGAATTGGACCCTTCCTCTAGATGCAACTGTTTTAAATGGCCTTCCCATTAAATACAACAGTGTTGATATACAGCAGTTATGTTTAGCTGAATATATACTGGGGAAAAAGTTAATACCAAGAAAAGAAATGCTTCAATCTGTTTTTGTCTATAGGCCTCCATGTAGTCCAATCATGTTTCCTTCAGCAAAGAATGCTGAGAGCAGGCTGTTCCTTCTCTCACTTTTTCCAAGTTTCCCATAACGTGAACAAGGCCAGAATCCTGATCAGCAAAGACTACTGTTTCAAATTCTTTTTGTTATTAGAAAGCAGATAAGAAAAGCATTTTTAACCTCTACGTGCCTTCTCCTTACATTATTAGCATTCACATACACCAAAGAGAAATGCATACTGCTTATACACAATTTTACCTGCCACTCCTGTAGGAAAGGCTACTAAACGCTCCATTGGGGCTAGCCATTTGCTTGGAAGTATAGTAACTGGCTCAGAATAATATTTCCAAATTAGTGAGATCATCAAGGCAGCCTGGAATGGAAACCCTCATTAGCCAGGACAACAACACACAAAAAGTATGTTCAAATTTCTATTTTGTGGCAGTAAATTAAAAATACGAATAATTCTCAAGTGCAATTAAACTTACAATTGTAAAACTGTGCCTATAAAACTACAAAAAGTTCTTACAATCTGGATGCTATTTACATCTCCTTAACTACCCTCCTACCATTAACATGTCAACATCAGAATTTCTAGGGGGACTCGTAGGCTCAGAGAAAATGGTGCTTTTTACTGTAGGTACTGAATCAATTCTAGTTTAGATGAATAGTGCTCCAAAGCTGTTACAATATGATGGACTTTTTTTTTAGCCAAGATAAACTGAGCTGATATTTATAGTCTGCTAATGAACTAGATCAGTGTTTTTCAAACTGCAGGTCGGGACCCCAAACTGGGTGTGAGCAGCTGGTGCTCCATTTATGCACTGCACTCTCCTAGGGGAAGCAAGAGACTTCGTGTGCGCCTCTGCTCCCAGCTGCGATGATTGACCTGGGTGCAGGGGAGCATGCAAAATTTGTTCTCCACCTCCCACCAGAGGCGCACAGCATGTAGTAGCCTCCAGCTGTTCAAAACAGCTGGCGCTTCCTTTTACAAACCATGAGACCCTGATGGGGGACAAGAGACTTTGCATGCTCCCCTGTCCCCAACTGGCCTGGAAGCGGAGGAGTGCATGCAATTTCCTGCCCCCCAGGAATACACAGCTATGAGCATCACCTGGAGGGAACCCATGTGGCTGGGGCTGCTGCAGAAGGGAGCCTGTTGGATTGCTGGCTGGGAGCCACCTAAGGTAAGTGACCCCAGGCCAGAGCCTGCCTCAAGCACCCCAGCCCCTCACACTTCTTAACTCCCTGCCCCAGGTCACCACCCAAATCTTCTGCTTACTGCCCCAGATCACAGCTCCCTCCCAGACCCTATACCCCGTGCTACATCCCTCCCCCAGGTCAAAATTCACTTCTGTACCCCTACTACCTTCTGGATCCAGCACCCTAATCCCCTGCCCAAAGTCACAACCCCCTACTTCACCAAAACTCCCTTTCAGACTTCACATCATCTCCTGCACTCCAATTTTAGCTGCCCTGATCTCCCTTCTACACCCAACCTCTGTCCCAAGCCCCACACCTCCTCCATAGAGAAGTGCGGCCCTTGACCACTTCCCAAAATCGGAGTGGCTCCCAATCAAAAGTTATTGCCCACCCCGGTCTAAGCTGTCTTTCAAGGAAAATTTCAGTCCAAATAGTTGAAGTCTGGTAAAGTTATAAGCAACTGAAAACAGGATCTTATAACTGTAATAGTAAAACAATCTTAATAAAAGGCAGAGCTACCAGCTCAGCCTACAAAGATAACACCTATATTGGGCTTCAGCTGCTTTTTACATAAGTAACAGAGCAAGAAGCCTCCTTTCCAAAAAACTACAGACCAGACATAATCAAACTCCTTACAAATACCACCTCTTTATCGGCCATATCTTCCCTTCTCGGAAATAAGTGTTCACTGGTAAGACGCTTTATCATGCTACATATAGGCTATGTCTACACTACAGAGCTTTTCCAGGCTACTACAAATAGGCTGTATCTACACTGCAGAGCTTTGCCGCGTCCAAGGAACAAGTCTGCTTTTTCAAAAACAAAAATCGGAAAAGCAGACGCGTTTTCCCAGCATCCCGGTAAACCTTGTTCTATGAGGAAGAAGGGATGTTCCGAAATAGGAGTTTTTTCCAGCATTTGGCCCCGCAAAGACGGGCCAAATGTTAGAAAAGCCTCTTTTGGAAGAAAAGCAGAAAAAGATATGCAAATTGTGAACTGATTTTTTCCAACTTTTCTTTGTAGTGTAGACATAGCCTATATGTAGCATGATAAAGCTTCTTACATAGTCAGAATGTCAGATACACATCTATGACTCTGTCTACACTATAACTTTTATCAGCAAAGCTGTCAGTCAGATGTGTGGAAAAAACCACACCCCGACTGACACAAGTTTCAAGGATAAAAGTGTTGGTGTGAACAGTGCTATGTCATGAGTGTCTCCTGCCGACACAGCTACTGCTGCTCATTGGGGGAGGTTTAATTATGCTGCTGGGTGAGCTCTCTCCCACCAGCAAAGAGCGGCTATCCAAAAGACTTTAGACCAACATAACTGCAGCGGCTGTGTCGATGTAAGGTCCATTGTGTAGATATTGTATTAGCCAGTAGCTGCAGAACGGTAAAATATCATTGTACGTATTTTAGTAATCTGCATTATATCATAAGAAAATGTTACTTACTTGTAAAATGTAGAATACAATATTTATCACCCACTTTATTTTGGCTAATTGAGCAGTTCGTGCTTTCACTATGAAAAAAAAATATTGCCATTTGTAGTATTTATATAATAGTAAACATTCTTACCTCAAACTGGTAAATTATTAATATTTTACTTTCCAAGTAAAAATATTCAGCACAAAAGTTATATTCCCATTTATATGCCTTCACTGGCAATTTATTAAAGGAAAACATAGGCTTTTTTTCATTACCCAAAGTATCAGTGTATGCTATGGGGTATCCCTCTGTGAGGGAAGTGCTACTTTCTTAAACAAAGTTACTCGAGAGAATGTTAGAAATACTGTAGTAGTGTACTAGACAAAGTAATGTAATGTATAACTATGGTCAGGGACATCTCTATGGGCCTGTGAGGCCCAGGACACCCCTCCATCCCAGGCCTTGTCCCCCACTCCACCTTTTCCAAACCCATCCTGCCCCCACCTCCACTCCTTCACCCAAGCTCCTGCTCCACCCCTGTCTCCTCCATACCTTCTTCCAGCCTCCTCCCCAGAACAAAACTAGGAGCCAGCAGCGGGTTGCTTTGCTTTCTGCCGTCACTGGTGTGTGCAGGAGTGAGCCTGACCCAATGCTGGTGCCAGACCCCCTTGCAAATCCCTCAGGGCCACCCTTGGCCCAGTGCTTCTGCAGCCCCCCAAAATGAGGGGCCCAGGGCGGTTACCCTGAACTGTCCTATGGACAGGAAGGCTATAACCAAGGGTTCTATCCTCAACCAAAAGGAATCTCTATGCTTGCTGACCTGTGAAAACTTATTTTAGATTAAATACAAAGGAGACTACTTCCTATGCCTCAGAAGTAGTGCACAATTTTTTAGCAGTCACAGGCTATCACATTAGGGATCCTATTATTGTCCTTTTTCCACCATTTGAGCTCATGAGAATGTTTTCAAGAATACTTTCTAGCCTAGCTGAATCTCATTCAGAATGAAAAATCATTTTAGTGTGATTTGCAAGTACAACCTAGACAACCAAATGTTACACCTGAAAAAACAGTTTTCAACGTGAGTTTCAAATGCTGTGGTGCCTCAGAACAATATAAGAAATCCATTTAAAACATGGTGGTCCAGCAGTCAAAAGTTTTATTAAACAGCTTTGTAGAGACAATTAGGAATGTTAATTTAGATTAATCAGCTAATCGAATAGTTGATGCAATTTGCATAGACTATGTGATTAGTTAATAAGGGCGCATCCGCTGTTGCTTCATTTCAAAGGCGAAAGTGCTGCGGGGAGCTTTCCGCAGCATTTCAAAATGGCAGACTCCGGGCTCCATGCGCGAGTCTCCAGCTGGCCCCAGGCTGCACGCACTGTTTCAAGGCAGCGTGCTGTGTGGAGCCGAAGGTCTGGCCCTGGGCTCTATGCGGCTCTGCCGCTTTGAAACACCCCCTCTTCCTTCCTCCACCCTTCCTGCCTCTTTCTGAAAGAGACAGCAAAGGGGGAGAGCAACTAGTTGACTAGTTGTTCACATACCTAGAAACAATGCACTGTAGTATTACCAAGAGGTAAATCTAGGCGAGGTCAACCACAGGCATAGGGCATAGCATTTACTTAGTGGTAAAATCTCCAGTGGGTGCCTTGTCTTCAATGAGACTTTGAAATGGATTGCTAACATGCATTAAATATTCTGTTAGGGTATGCCTACACTTGCACCCTCTTTCAACACGGGGATGCAAATGCAGACATTCAAAATTGCAAATGAACCCGGGATTTAAATATTCCGTGTTGCATTTGCATATTCACGTTATGGTGCTATTTTGAAATAACAGACGCCGTTTAGACGCACTTATTTCAAGAGAAAACCCTTCTCTCGAAATAACTGGTAAACCTCATTGTATGAGGAATAAGGGTTATTTCGAGAGAAGGGTTCTCTCTCTAAATACAGGCAGTCCCCAGGTTACTTCCAAGATAGGGACTGTAGGTTTGTTCGTAAGTTGAATTTGTATGTAAGTCGGAACTGGTACATATTGTAAGGGAAACTCTAGCCAAACATTTCTCCAGAGCTCAGTTTTATTCTCCCACACCTCACTTCCCTCAATTCTTTATTCTCAAGCTGAGGTGTCTGCTGAGAAAAGCCGCTCCGCATCTCCCTGGTCTGCTGGGGGGGGGGGGGCGCCATACGGGGTTATCTCACCCCGTTTGTAAGTAGGGATCCGATGTAAGTCGGATCCATGTAACCTGGGGACTGCCTGTAACCGTGTTTTAACAGCATGTTATTATTTCAAAATAGCGCCATAACACAAATACGCAAATGAAGCGCGGGATATTTAAACCCCGGCTTCATTTGCAATTTCAAATGTCTGCATTTGCATCCCTCTCTTGAAAGAGGGTACAAGTGTGGACACACCTTTATAGAAAAACACCCATACCTTTTTGCAGTGAAGACATAGGCTTAGTGGCTCACTTCCATGTCATAAAGGCACGCTGCTGTTTTGACTTGAGTTCAAAAAGTCTAAGGCTATGTCTATACTGCAGAGCTCTGCTGTGTCCAAGGATCACGTCTGCTTTTCTGAAAACAAATTTCAGAAAAGCAGACGCATTTTTTCAGCATTCCTGTAAACCTCGTTCTATGAGGAAGAAGGGATGTTCCAAAAAAGGATTTTTCCCCAACATTTAGCCCCATGTAGACGGGACAAATATCAGAAAAGCTTCTTTCGGAAGAAAAACGGAAAAAGATATGCAAATTGCAGTTCACAACTTGCATATCTTTTTCTGACTTTTCTTTGTAGTGTAGACATAGCCTAGGTGTACTAATTGGAATGTTTTTTCAGAGACAAAAAAATGAAAACTTGCCTTCTGCCTCAGCTTCCGTGTGGATTCCTCTGAAAAGCTTTTATATAACACCCTGCAATTCAGAGAGACTCTAAACCCCACCCTCTCAGTGTTATTCTTAATAAAATAAAATAAAATAAAACAAAACTGAACCAAACCAAACCAAACCATGAAACTTAAAAACAAAAAAAGGAAAAGGTTCTGCAAATAAGGACAAATAAAGTCAAAATAAAAACACATACTTGGAAAAAGAAGTGTTTTTAGGTAAACGGAACAAGTGGTAAATATTGCATTCTACCATGAGTTTTAAGCTTGTCAGTCATTTTGTTGATCTTTCTTTCCAGTCGGGCATATCTTGCAAACTCATCCATCATACTAATGGTTGTGAGTTCTTGCTTCATGTTTTGAATTTCAGCTCTCATCTGGGATTCCTGCTCTGCATCCTTCTGTAGCAATCTGGATATCTACAAAGGAAAGAAACTCAGAATTATCAGCCTTTTGGCTAAGATCAAGTGTACACAATAAAGAGCAAATACCACAGAAAAAATTCACAGCATCAGCTAAAAGACTCAAAACCTCGCAAAACAAATTAATCAACTTTACACCCATCCCCTCAGAAAAATCTTGAATAAATACACAGGCTGTACAACATAGCATCAATCAGCATTCCCTGTAAATTGTGCGCTCATGCTGCTGCTCTAGAGAAATTCAAATGCTGTCCAGCAGATTATCAGAGCGCCCATAGCCAGTAGCATAGTGATAGAAATGTAGCCGTGTTAGTCTGGGGTAGCTGAAGCAAAATGCAGGACAATGTAGCATGTGTTTCTTCTGGTGGTGTACGTTCACACATGCCTCAGTGCACACAAATAAAATTTATTCTGCATATGGTTGGGAAAAATTAAGAGGGAACATTGTTACAAACTGGTTAAATGCTTCAAAACACTGGAATTGCCATATAGGATCAGACCTGAGGTCTACCTAGTCCAGGATCCTGTTTTCTACAGTGGCTAGGCAGAAGTGGGATAAACTGTCTGCATACCCACCTGGAACTCCCTTATTATAGCTCATCCTATTCTCTAGTAATCAGAGATTAACTTAACCATTGATATCCCTTCCAAATTTTTGGTTAGCTTTAAGTATTACATCTGATTCAAAAGTTTTAGAGGGGTAGCCTGCGTCTACACAGCACCCTAAACTCAAAATAAAATATGCAATTTGAGCAACGCAAATTGTGTATCTTATCTCAAATCTATTTCGAAATAGCTTATTTTGAAATTTGGCATGTCTACACAGTGCTAAATTTCAAAATAATGTGCTATTTCGAGCCATCCTTTATCCCTTGTACAACGAGGTTTACCGGGATGGCAAAATAGCGAGCTCTTTATTTAAAAAAATATTTCAAAATAACTGGCGGCTTGTGTAGATTCAGGGTAACTATTTCGGGATGCCTCCAGTATCCCGAAATAGGGTACTTCTACCCTGGATGGCTAACTGAATAAGTTTAAAAAACAACAAATAGTTTTGCAGCACTGTAGAGTAACAAAAAATGTAGATGGCATCATGAGCTTCAGAAGTTTCATCTGAAGAAGTGGGTTGTGCCCACAAAAGCTCATGATACTATCTACATTGTTTTGTCTCTAAAGTGTTGCAAGACTATTTGTAGTTTTTTATGTTTATTTTATCTGATATCCTTGCTATCCATATAACTATCTAGGCCCTTCTTCAAATCTTGCTAAATTCCTTGCCTCAGAAACTTGTGACTTTTAATTTAATGCTTTAATTACACATATTTCCTTGTACAAGTTTTAATTTGGTAACTTTTAATTTCATTGGCTGTGCCCTTGTCTGGTATTACCAGACCGGGAGAAGAGATGATCCAAATCTCTCTATTGATCAGGTACAAACTTCTATCCTGTTCCCTCTTATCTATCCATCTTTGAACTCTCTTCACAAGTTTGTGTGTTCCCTTAATCATTCTTTTTGTCTTAACTCCATTTCTGCAATATTGTTCTTAAGATGAGGTACTAAAGTGCTCCAGATAAGGTGTACCAATTAATCAGCATTATTTTCTAATGTATTAGTTTTTCTTGGCTGTAGTTTTGGGGGCTCTATGGCTATGTCTACACTGCTGCAGTTCAAATAAGTGATGCAATTTGAGCTATGCAAATTGCATCTATTTCCATCTTATTTCGAAATAGTGCCAAATGATGAACTAAGCTGTCTATAGAGTGCCAAATTTCAAAATAACCCGCTATTCCGAAACGTCCCTTACTCTGCATAGATTGAGGTTTATAGGGTCGTTGGAATAGGGAGCCCGAAATAAGGCGCTTGCGGTGAAGGCCCAGGATACTCCGGTATCCCCCAATAGCTCTTGCAGTGTAGCCGTAGCCTGTAGGAGCTCAGTTGGGTTTAGTGGCCATTGCTGAAGCCCCGTGGCGAGCGGCTTTAAAGGGCACCTCCCCGCTGGCGCAGGCTCCTGCAAAACAGAGCCGGGTGCAATGTCCACAGCTGGGCAAAAATAAAAACACATACTTGGAAAAAGAAGTGTTTTTAGGTAAACGGAACAAGTGGTAAATATTGCATTCTACCATGAGTTTTAAGCTTGTCAGTCATTTTGTTGATCTTTCTTTCCAGTCGGGCATATCTTGCAAACTCATCCATCATACTAATGGTTGTGAGTTCTTGCTTCATGTTTTGAATTTCAGCTCTCATCTGGGATTCCTGCTCTGCATCCTTCTGTAGCAATCTGGATATCTACAAAGGAAAGAAACTCAGAATTATCAGCCTTTTGGCTAAGATCAAGTGTACACAATAAAGAGCAAATACCACAGAAAAAATTCACAGCATCAGCTAAAAGACTCAAAACCTCGCAAAACAAATTAATCAACTTTACACCCATCCCCTCAGAAAAATCTTGAATAAATACACAGGCTGTACAACATAGCATCAATCAGCATTCCCTGTAAATTGTGCGCTCATGCTGCTGCTCTAGAGAAATTCAAATGCTGTCCAGCAGATTATCAGAGCGCCCATAGCCAGTAGCATAGTGATAGAAATGTAGCCGTGTTAGTCTGGGGTAGCTGAAGCAAAATGCAGGACAATGTAGCATGTGTTTCTTCTGGTGGTGTACGTTCACACATGCCTCAGTGCACACAAATAAAATTTATTCTGCATATGGTTGGGAAAAATTAAGAGGGAACATTGTTACAAACTGGTTAAATGCTTCAAAACACTGGAATTGCCATATAGGATCAGACCTGAGGTCTACCTAGTCCAGGATCCTGTTTTCTACAGTGGCTAGGCAGAAGTGGGATAAACTGTCTGCATACCCACCTGGAACTCCCTTATTATAGCTCATCCTATTCTCTAGTAATCAGAGATTAACTTAACCATTGATATCCCTTCCAAATTTTTGGTTAGCTTTAAGTATTACATCTGATTCAAAAGTTTTAGAGGGGTAGCCTGCGTCTACACAGCACCCTAAACTCAAAATAAAATATGCAATTTGAGCAACGCAAATTGTGTATCTTATCTCAAATCTATTTCGAAATAGCTTATTTTGAAATTTGGCATGTCTACACAGTGCTAAATTTCAAAATAATGTGCTATTTCGAGCCATCCTTTATCCCTTGTACAACGAGGTTTACCGGGATGGCAAAATAGCGAGCTCTTTATTTAAAAAAATATTTCAAAATAACTGGCGGCTTGTGTAGATTCAGGGTAACTATTTCGGGATGCCTCCAGTATCCCGAAATAGGGTACTTCTACCCTGGATGGCTAACTGAATAAGTTTAAAAAACAACAAATAGTTTTGCAGCACTGTAGAGTAACAAAAAATGTAGATGGCATCATGAGCTTCAGAAGTTTCATCTGAAGAAGTGGGTTGTGCCCACAAAAGCTCATGATACTATCTACATTGTTTTGTCTCTAAAGTGTTGCAAGACTATTTGTAGTTTTTTATGTTTATTTTATCTGATATCCTTGCTATCCATATAACTATCTAGGCCCTTCTTCAAATCTTGCTAAATTCCTTGCCTCAGAAACTTGTGACTTTTAATTTAATGCTTTAATTACACATATTTCCTTGTACAAGTTTTAATTTGGTAACTTTTAATTTCATTGGCTGTGCCCTTGTCTGGTATTACCAGACCGGGAGAAGAGATGATCCAAATCTCTCTATTGATCAGGTACAAACTTCTATCCTGTTCCCTCTTATCTATCCATCTTTGAACTCTCTTCACAAGTTTGTGTGTTCCCTTAATCATTCTTTTTGTCTTAACTCCATTTCTGCAATATTGTTCTTAAGATGAGGTACTAAAGTGCTCCAGATAAGGTGTACCAATTAATCAGCATTATTTTCTAATGTATTAGTTTTTCTTGGCTGTAGTTTTGGGGGCTCTATGGCTATGTCTACACTGCTGCAGTTCAAATAAGTGATGCAATTTGAGCTATGCAAATTGCATCTATTTCCATCTTATTTCGAAATAGTGCCAAATGATGAACTAAGCTGTCTATAGAGTGCCAAATTTCAAAATAACCCGCTATTCCGAAACGTCCCTTACTCTGCATAGATTGAGGTTTATAGGGTCGTTGGAATAGGGAGCCCGAAATAAGGCGCTTGCGGTGAAGGCCCAGGATACTCCGGTATCCCCCAATAGCTCTTGCAGTGTAGTCGTAGCCTGTAGGAGCTCAGTTGGGTTTAGTGGCCATTGCTGAAGCCCCGTGGCGAGCGGCTTTAAAGGGCACCTCCCCGCTGGCGCAGGCTCCTGCAAAACAGAGCCGGGTGCAATGTCCACAGCGGGGCGGTTGCTAAGGCGGGAGGGAGCGCGTCGCGCTGACGTCACTTACGATGGAGGAGCAGGAAGGCAGGAGGATTTTGAGGAGGTTGCAGAGAAACACAGAGCTC